TGTAGATCAGGCTGGCCTGGTACTCAGAAATTTGCCTTGGAACTTGGTGCACAGATGGCAATCAAAGCATGGTGGCAGGAGTGTGAGACAGCTGGTCTCGTTGCCCTTAGAGGCAGGACGCAGAACCGGACTCTGGTACTCAGTTCCCCTTCTGTTTGTTATCTAGTTCAGGACCTCAGTGCATGGACTGATTCTCCCCACATTTAGAGCAGATCTCTGTACCTCACCTTCTAACAAGATCTAGAAACTCCTTTACAGACACGGACAAAGGTTTGTCTCCTAAGTAATTCCGGGTCCTGTCCAGCTGACAATCAATATTAACTATGACAGCCCCAAAGGTCCTCTCTTTGCCCCATTTGTAGGGCAACTTTAGGAAGATTCCGTGGTAGGCCGGCAATATGCGGAAGGGGTGAGATCTGAATGAGAATTGAGAGCCCCAGTTCTAGATAAAATTATTTCGGTCTTCATAATCCAAAGGAAGTTGTTCTTGCTTGTTTGCTTGCTTGTTTTTGTCAACTTGGCACAAGCTAGCGTTATCTGGGATGAGGAATCTTAATAGAGAAAATGCTTCCAGCACGTTACAGGTGCTGTAAGTACAAGTACTGTAGACAAGTCTACAGGGCATTTTCTTGACTAATGGTTGATGTTTCTAGCTGCTGGACAGGTGGTTCTGGGTTGGATAAGAAAGCAGGCTGAGTGAAGCCACGAGGAGCAAGCCAGTACACAGTGTTCCTCCGTGGCTTCTGCTTCAGCTCCTGTCTCCAGGTTCCTGCCCTGGGTCCCTGCTCTGACTTCCTCCAGTGATGGACTGTGATGTGGAACTGTAAGCCAAATGAACCCTTTCCTCCCCAAGTTGCTTTTGGTAATCATGTTTTATCATTCAACAGAAACCCTAAGGCAGAGAGTTGGAGAGGTCAATACCATCAACAGCACAAAAAGTGAGAGAGCTTCCGCTCATACAAGTCCTTGCCTCGGCCTCACAAGGAAGGCGCTTACAGGAATCCAGAGAGAGAGAGAGGGAGAGAGAGAGAGAGAGGGAGGGGGAGGAGAGGGAGAGAGAGAGAGAGAGAGAGAGAGAGAGAGAGAGAGAGAGAGAGCTGGGTTATTGGCCAGTGTCCTAGAACCAGAGTGTGGCCAGCTGAAGAAAGGCCCTCTATCTAAGGAAGGTCAATTTTCCCACTTGCCTTCTCCTCCGGTCCCATTCCAGGTGTTCTCATAGGTCTATTGCCTTGTCTTAGAGATAGATGCTGCCAGGGCAGACTGTGGGTCTGGTGACTTCTGTCAACGATGTCTTGCCTGATGTCCAGGCCACCATCTCTTAGAAAAAGAATTTGGTGATCACAGCATGCACTTCTGACTGGCGGTGCTGCGTGGGGTTTAGAGCCAGAGTTTGAATACAGCTTGGGTGTCTCCCCAGAGGTTCGCGTGAAGGGCAATATACAAGACTCCATGAGAGGTACTTAGGTCATTGGGTACACTACCCCTGGAAGGGTATAAACTAGTTCTCATGGGACTCCAGTTAGTTCCCACCAGAGTTGTAAGGGGAGAAATTGGCTCCACTGTCTGGCTCCCTGTCTTGTCATGTGATATCTCCCTTTTGGGCACACTTCTGCCGTGAAACCATTGCCATTACATGACACAGTCTAGGGGAGTCCTTCTGACGAGGAATATAGAGGACCATCCGATTCTGAAGCTCCAGCTTACTTAACTGCGAGTCAAATAATTCGCTTTTCTTTATAGAATATCCAGCCTTGGCCTCACAGCTGAGAAGCTGAGAACATGGTAGTTCCTTGGTCCTTGGGGACGAATGTCGCAGCACTCAAGTCCCACAGAGGATGTTTTACACTGGGAAGGCAGACAACCTAGTATCTGCTCAGCCCACAAGACTGGATGCTTCACCAGTCCCAATCTGGCACTGAAAATCTAGAGGGTTCCTGGAAAGGCACTGTCAAGCTCCTGGAGAGGTTTTTAGTCAGCAATGGATGCCTGAAATGCTGGTTCAGATATCAGCGAAGAAATGGACATCACCATCATCACCACCATCATCATTGCCATTAGCAACAGCAGCAACAACATAAATCAACTCAGCAGCAAGAGGGAAGCCCAAGTGAGTAGAGGGTAAATGATCTCCCTTCTGCCACGCTCTTTTTTATCTGGGTTGCTACCTGGACATGCCACCCACATTTGGGATGGGTCTTCCCATATCAGTTAAGGGAATTGGAAGCTGGACGGTTCCTCAGGGGAGGCTCCCTACTCAGACGGTTCTAATTTCTGACCCGTAAACATTAAAAGCAACCATCATAGGGATGTTGCTACAGCAACACAAAGAGGAGCGCTGTAAACCGTGTCCCTCACTCTCAGCTCGTGAACTTTTCTTTCATTTTCCCAAAGCAGAGGTCATCAGGAGAGGCTGACAGCTCCCACCATGGTCCTCAGAGCAGAGAGTCTGCCGGTCCTCCCATCACTCTCCCTGGTTGCCTCTGTCTCTCTCCTTTTGGCTCCGCATCCCAGTTGCTCCTCCCTCGCTTGAAGAATCCCTTCACAGGCCTCCTCCAGTTCCAGAAACGTCTAACTTCTTGGATCCCAGGCTTGAGTCATAAATGCGTGGTTGTTTTGTTTCTTTACTGTCTTGTAAGAAGATGGTAAAAAAAAAAATCTTTTTGAGTCACAGCCCCCACAATTACTACCTTACCTTTCTCTTTTCCTGTTCAGAAAATTCTTTCATGAGTTTCTCGTTTCCACTGTCGCCAGTGTCCCCCTCTTTTCGTTCCCTTTAACTGACTCCCTAGTCAGCTGCTCAGAGTTCAAGGGTGTAGTCCCCCTCACGGTCCTACCGCCATGCTGGACTACACCCTTGAACTCTGAGCAGAAAAACAAACTTTCTCCCTCAAGTTTCTTTTCTCATCACAGCGATGGGGAAAATAGCTGCACAATAAGCAGACCTGGTCTTATTTGAAACCCTGATTCCACTTGACAATGTTAGCCAGGGCTCAGTTGCGCCCTTTCTTATAATCAGTTCCACAAGACACGGCTGGGATACGGTGGTCCTGCGAGCGTGTCTGGTCACTCAGCCGAGGATGAGGTTCGCTGCCTCGGGAAGTTGAGTGGCCACGAAGCCACTCTGAGGGGAGGACAGGGGTAGAGTTATTTGCACTCAGAATGTGACAATCCCTTCCACACTTGATGTCCCCAATGCTTTGAACACACCAGGCTGCCCACCTGAGCACGCTGCTGAGTTTTGATTGCTTTGTGTAATTCTAAGGACTACTGAGTTTAGCTAAGAGCTGACGAGCAGGAGGAACACCAGGGTAGGCTGTGCCCTCTATGAGCGAGGCACAACAAGCCAAGTACTCCGCCAAGGGAATGCCTGGGAGTTGTGAATGAGCCTTCAGCCAGGGAAGAAGATGGCCCTCAGATAGCAATGGAGGGACACCTCTGTCTGTGTCTCCCAGGGCTCCTGCCTGAAAAATGTTCTGATTATCATCAGGGAAGGAGGACAAGAGGATTTGAAGTGATCTATAGGTAACTGACTACAGGACAGCTTTGAGAAAATGACCAGAATCCAGAGCTGCTGGGTGACCTTGGCTACATATATAGCATGGTACCCATGCTGAACATGGCATGACTCCCTGTGCCTAGGACACTGGCACGTTGCTTCAGCCAAGTGGAGGATCTATAGGTAACCAACTGCAGAACGGCTTCGGGAAAATTACCTAGAATCCAAAACTGCTGAGTGACCTTGGCCACAATCCCAGGACGTGTGTAGGATGTTACCCATGCTGAACATGATGCTGCCACCTGTGCCTAGGACACTGGCAAGCTGTTTCAGGCAAGTGGAACCTTCATGTTTGCTGGCAGTATAGGACTGCTAAGACCTATACTAGTCCCTTCAAGGAAGCAGGAAGAGAATAACTCTGCTCTCACAGGAAAACAAAATCTTGCTTCCCACCATGGAAAGAGATCCCTCAAATGCTAGGGTACCATTCTGAAGCAGGCAACATTTATCAGTTCATTTCCCATTGGTAAAATACTACACCTTGCCTGCGTAAGTTCTGAAGAAAAGAGGCCTACTTCAGGTCACTGTTGCAAAGATTCAAGGTCGAGAGGTCACATCTGGTCATGGCTTTCTGCTGGCACACTGCCAGGCAACAAGGACTCTTACCCAGGCAGGCAAGGGAGCGTGCGTGTGTTCTGGCCTCTTCCCTCTAATAAAGCACAGAATTCAATGGTGAGGGCCTCACTCTGTGGCCAGATGGTTTCTGCCCTCTAAAAAGTCATAATGGGAACAAAATTCCAACCCGAGTTGTGTGTGTGTGTGTGTGTGTGTGCGCGCACGCGTTATATTGAAACCATAGTAGCAACCAAAATAAAAATCGTCTAGATCACTAAGTGGAACTCAATGGCTGTGATGTCTTCTAGACCCCATGGACCAGCATTTAGCTGAGCTAGAACCCTTCCTGATGCTTGCATGTTGTTTAATCTTAATCCCTTCAAATGTTCCTTCAGATTTCCAGTATCCAGAACTATTCAGTGAACACAAAAAGATTAATGACCATGAGTTTAATACTCTAAACAGCCTACATCAATTGTTCTGAGAATAAATGAGTGTGCTCACGTGTGTGTGTGTGTGTGTGTGTGTGAGAGAGAGAGAGAGAGAGAGAGAGAGAGAGAGAGAGAGAGAGAAAGAGAGAGAGAGACAGGAGCTCTGAAATCTTTTACTAAATATCTGCCCAAACTTTAGTTCTGGTAAGCTAAAATTTATTTAACAAATATTGTTGTGCAGGCCCCAGTTCTTTGATGGGTCTTTCAGAGTGCACTGCCCTGTTCTGTCTTCTCTTTGGCCAGGTGTGCAAACAACTGGAAGCTTGTCAATAGGTCAAGGCCATCCGCGGTTTTTACCGGTTGGCAGAGACATGCCAGGAGAAGGCCAGGGTAGTGGGTGTAGGGTTGGGCAACTTTGTAATAAACACAGTAGATGATGCAACAGGGCACGGGCTTCTTGGAGACACACGTGGTCTCAACCATGGCAACTTGGAAATAGCTGAAGATCTCAAGGTGACGGTTCCCCTTGGTCTTGAACTGGGCCTTCTTGGAGAGTGCAGCCTAGGTAGGAGTGAGTTGTGTACAGTGGCCTGGGGTCTGTGTGAGATTTTGATTAACATGGGCAAGTCAGTTGGGAAATGGTTATTGCAGGAGTAGAAGTGAGACCCAAGGTAGCTGGCAGAGGTAAAAGCCAGGCTCATGGAAGTGGAAGCTGTTAGGAACAAAGCCCTTGTCTATAACCCTGCAGAAAGCCGAGCTTACTAACTGTAGACACTCCAGTTTGGTGTCCCGGGAGGTCGCAGTGTGAACTGGAGCCCACGCGAGCCTGTTTATGACTCTGTTCCTCCACTTGTAAGCACCTAGCTTCGCGTGTAGTGTCTGCCTAGGACACTGCATGGGGGCCAGGCCAGCCTGGCTGGGGCCTGCAGGCGAGAGGGCTGATGAGCTAGCCAGCAGCCACCTCCCAGACCCAGCTGCAGGGCTGGGCTTCCTGAAAACTGAGTCTGGAACAAGACAGCTGACCCCTGACTGCGTGTTTACAGATTTCACCAGGCTCTGGGGACAGCTGTGGCCTCCCCACCCCTGTGGCCTCATGGTTGGTGATGTGGGCCCGGACTGGAGCTGCGGGAGTTCAGGAATACCAACACTGCCGTCTCCCCATGGCTTCAGCAAATAGGAGGTGTTTGTTCATATCTCCTGTAAACAGTTGTTTCCTCGGGGATGGCCTAGCTCGTGTTAAATGTTAACAGAGAGCTACTCCACAGCCGCTCTCGGGGTGTCTGTTTTAAATATTTAAGTAATTGCTCTTCCCTGTCCCTGTCCCTGAATGACATTTTGGCTCAAATTTGCTCTAACTGCTGTTTCTTCTCTGGTTATTAAATTGTGTGAAATGCCCATCCCCTCTCTCTCTTTCTCCCTCCCTCCCTCTGCAAACAGCTGTCTCATTCACCTTCCGTCACAACACCAATGGACATATTGGGTTCCAGATGTGTGACCTCCTGGGAAGCAGGTGGCTGTTGAACTTGGTGGTCTTTCCCAGGGATGGGGCAGAGGGGGTCACCCTGGAGTACGAGGAGCGCCAGCCGTGATGAGTTGTGCTATGCCGGGTCTCTCTCCATTTGGCATGTAGTGGGAACCTTGGCTTTGGAACGTTCTGCTTCTACCTGGACTCAGTTGTGGCAACGTCCTCAAGCCTTGGATTTGTGTCATCAGGGATCCGCAGACAGGTGGGTTAGTTTCTCCTTCCCAGGTAAGGCTTGGGCTGGAAGGGCCGTGAAGCCTTTTCTATGGAAGTAAGCCACCTCTCCCTGCTTTTCTTCCCACCTCCTGGCACAGGTAGAGGAGAGCTTTCCCTTGCTTAGGCCAGAGAAGTCTAGTCCCAGTTCGTGAGACTCCAAGATAACCCTGCATCTCTGAAGAGCTAATGAGGTCACTTCAAGACTAAACTAATCGAAAGTCACCTCTCTTTACCCCAAGGATGACCACGCAGATCTTAGCATAAAATGAATTCTGACCCTCTTTAATATTTTAAAGATCTTTTAGTGCCTTTTTTTAAGAGAAGAAGGTGGTTGCAACACTGTAATTCCTGATGGGGTGTCAGAGTGGACCCCCAAGGACACTTGCTGTGGGAGGAGGCTCCCTGTAGAGGGCAGATGTAGCCCTGACGTTCCCAGCCATGTGACCACTCTTCAGCTCACTCTCTCCCTTTCTCCATGGAGAAAACAGTGGTACTACCAACCTCAGAACTGGTAATATCGACAACTTGGACTTTGTGAGTGACACAAGGTGCCTGCATGGTGCTCTCACAAACGCCAAAACTACAAGCAGAATAAAAGGTGTTTGCGTGGGAAACCTGAGGGACAGGGTAAGTCAGTGTCCAGGCCACACTGTGTTGGAAGGTTTGAAAGAGGGACTGTCAGCTAGAAATCAGAGGGACAGAGATGCTGAAGTCAGAGAGAAGCTCAAAGATGGTGCCTTACCCTTTCTGACCCTCAGGGGCGTAGGTAAGCAGGCCTGGAGGGCTGATGGGAGCTACCCGAAGAGCTGGACTTAGTAGAAATCAGTTTAGGGAACTTCTCAGTCATTTACCCTCAGCCACCCAGGGTGGCTATAGTCAGCCATGGCCTCCACCTACCCTCAGAGACTTTGAGAGACACCGGACATGTGTTCCAAGAAGAACCAGACTTTCAGTATGAGCAGATTTTATGTAATGGGATAGTGCTCAAAACACACCCTGGGACGAGGTGTTTAACATCACCCAGAACCTTCCAGTGGACTTGTTGAAACATGGGTGGATGGATGCAACCTGAGCTTGTCCATGGAGGTTGTCTAGAGTGAGCCTGATATTGGACATTTTGGATGCCTCTGCCGGTCAGAGGCGTCTTTAATATCTGTGGCTCTATTTTGATTTCTGGCCTGTTGTGCTTGGGACTATGGCAGAAGCTTAGCCCAAAGCAGTGGCCTTCCATTACTTTTATTTAATAATCTACCTTATGCTCCTTCATCCAAGGAGCTACCCTCAGGGGATGCAGACCTGCTACAAGCAAGATGCACTGCACACCAGGCACCCAGCAGTAAGTTTTCAGATGCTGTTCCGGCACCATGCCTATCTGTCTGCTGCCTGCTGTCATGTTTCCCTCTGTGCTGGTCATGCATTCACCTTCTGAAACTGGAAGTACCAATAAATGCTTTTGATAACTTGGCCATGGTGTCTCTTTACAGCAAAAGAAATGTAATGAACACAGATGGATACAGAGAATCACAATAAACATTTAGGAATAAACACCTCCAGAGAAGCCATGTTTGCTATGGACCCAGGCTCCCAGCTACTCAGGGGGCTGAAGCAGGAGAATGGCTTGAACTCAGGAGTAGGAGCCCAGCCTGGGCAACATGGTGAGAGTCTATAGGAAACAACAAAAGCCTCTTGTGTGATTCAGTGCTGCTGAGATAGGAAACCTAAACCACAAGTGACAACTTGCTAGAGATCCCACATTGCCATGTTTGAGAGAAACCCTAGGGGACCAGTGTGAAGGGTGAGTCACACTTGTGTGAATTTTGACTTCAAGATCTTTGCAGTGAGCATGGGAAAGAAGTCCATCTGGATGCTCTGGCAAGTGGACTAGAATACATTTACATTAAAACTCGCGCTGAGCACTGTTCTTAACAAGGCTGCTCTCAAACGACACTACACAGCTCAGCCTAACTGGTCGGAGTTTTCACAAGAACCCAGTGAGCATGGCCAAAGTTTTCACAAGAACCCAGTGAGCCTGAGAGATGGAAATGCCCAGCTTCATCCCCCTGGAGCCTTCCTGCCTCTCCTATGTGGAGAAACTAACAACTATACTGAGAAGCATTTGTAGAGGTCGAAGTCCAGATGTACTGGCTCACTGGAAGATCAACATCCAGTCATAGAGCTGTAGAATGCTTCCTTTCTCCCACACGAGCAGGGCTCTTATGTAATCACAGATTATACCTGAAAGAACTGATTGACTCAGGCTCTATTAGGAGAAACGTCCTCTAAGGAGATTCAAAGGTAAATAGAAACGAGGACACCAGAGAAAAATGAAGCCTCCGACCCCTATAGTTACAATGAGCAGTGAACACTCTTGGCCAGCCAAACATAAAATATTACATGAAAAGTCCAGTTTCATCTACTACTTTCATGGGTGCATCAAGTTTGACATTCAATTAAACGTTACAAGGCAGACTAAAAGTTAAAAATACAGTGTTAAGAGAAAGAGCGAGCATCAGAACCAGGCTCTGACAAAGCAGATATATTAGAGTTATACTAGGAATTTAATATATTCTTGATCCAATTAATGTATCAAGGGAAAAGTTTAATAGAAAAGGAGACTGAGTGCAAGAACATATGGGTAGGGTAAGTAGAGATTAAAAATCAGAAAGCTTAATAAGGAATTATGAGAAATTGAAAGATAAAAATAAAGACACAAACAGACTTCACATAACCTAGGGGGGAATCGGTCCATAGAAACTCCCAAAGAGGAAGAAAGCCACTGGAAGGAGCAGCAGCCGATGGAAGCGCGCACATCTGCTCATGCAGCAGAATCTTCTGCTTTCGTAGGTCTAGAGGCTAGATGTTCATTATCAAGGCCTGTCAAGGGTGGTTCTGGTGAGCAATGTCTCCCTGCCCTGTAGACAGGCACCTTCGGGGTCACGGTGTCCTTACAGCCTTCCCTCTGTGCTCCATGGCTCAGATCTTATGTCTCTCCCTCTGTAGACACCAGTCCCTCCAGATTAGGTCTCTAAATATATAATATCATTGAACCTTAATTAACTCCAATAGGCCCTGTCTCCAAATGCAGTAGCCCAGGATGAGGGCTTTTATGTATGGATTGAAAGAGACTCAAACATTCAGTCCTTAATACCCAGAAGCCAGTGTCACGGGAAGCTGTAAACTCACTCTGGAACTGAAGGCATGAAATGGAAATTACGGCCAATGTGGCCACCAGCAGCTTCACCCAGGAACCTGGATTTCTCCCCCAGCTGCTGCTACAGAGCCTAGACGTCCCCCCCCCCCCCCCCCCCCCCCCCCCCCCCCCCC